CAGACGTGAGTGTGCTGTGGGTGGTGAACATGAGTGTGAACCAATGTGAGTGTGAACTGAGCTGTGGGTGTTGAACATGAGTGTAACTAATGTGAGTGTGAACTGGGCTGTGGATGGTGAACGTGAGAGTGCACTGGACTGTGGATGGTGAATGTGTGAACCAATGTGAGTGTGAACTGAGCCGTGGGTGGTGAATGTGAGTGTGACTAACGTGAGTGTACACTGGGCTATGGATGGTGAATGTGAGAGTGCACCGGGCTGTGGATGGTGATTGTGAGTGTGAACCAATGTGAGCGTGAACTGGGCTGTGGGTGGTGAACATGAGTGTGAACTAATGTGTGTGAACTGAGCTGTGGATGGTGAACATGAGTGTGAACCAACGTGAGTGTGAACTGGGCTGTGGAAGGTGAATGTGAGTGTGAACTAACCTGAGTGTGAACTAATGTGAGTGTGCACTGCGCTGTGGATGGTGAACGCGAGTGTGAACTAATGTGAGTGTGCACTGTGCTGTGGATGGCAAACGTGAGTGTGAACTAACGTGAGTGTGAACAAATGTGAGCCTGCACTGGGCTGTGGATGGTGAGTGTGAGCCTGCACTGGGCTGTGGATGTGAGTGTGAGTGTGAACTAACTTGAGTGTGAACTAATGTGAGTGTGAACTAATGTGAGCATGTACCACGCTGTGGATGGTGAACATGAATGTGAACCAACATGAGTGTGAACTGGGCTGTGGATGGTGAACATGAGTGTGAACTAACGTGAGTGTGAACTAATGTGAACCTGCACTGGGCTGTGGATAGTGAATGTGAGTGTGAACTAACCTGAGTGTGAACTAATGTGAGTGTGCACTGGGCTGGGATGGTGAACATGAGTGTGTACTGGGCTATGGATGGTGAACGTGAGAACTAACGTGAGTGCGAACTAATGTGAGTGTGCACTGGGCTGGGATGGTGAACGTGAGTGTGAACTAACGTGAGTGTGAACTAATGTGAGTGTGCACTGGGCTGTGGATGGTGAACGTGAGTGTGCACTAACCTGAGTGTGAACTAATGTGAGCCTGCACTGGGCTGTGGATGGTGAGCGTGAGCCTGCACTGGGCTGAGAATGGTGAATGTGAGTGTGAACTAACGTGAATGTGAGTGTGAACTAACGTGAGTGTGAACTAATGTGAGCCTGCACTGGGCTGTGGATGGTCGGTCTCACTGTCCATACCCCCCAGTGCCTGTCGTCTGGACTTGCAGTCATGCGGGTTGGGGTCATTCTGCAGAAACAGGCTGCGTACAGAGTGAATGATTTTCCAGCAAAACGGCACAGGTCAGTTCTACAATGAGGCGGTGCAGTCAGTCCTGGTCCGGGAAGCAAATGTGTTTCACATTATTTTGATGTGCGGAAGGCACATTTACAACACAAATAGGAGAAATGCTTGATGAAATGAGATAAGAAGGTCATGAAACACTACTGTGAATTTTTCCTGTGCAACAGCTCAACTCCACACAGCCAGCATGGCCAAGAAAAGCTTAGATAGATAACACACAGTCCATGAATAAACTCTTGACAGCTTCCATAAAATATAAAGGCAATGCAGTGTGTGTCATCAAAACTTCAACTAGGGGTGGGCATTTGGGGCGGCAGTTAAATCATCACTTGGGACCCCCGAGTCCCGTCCGGCAGTGCATTTCAGACCCTGGCTCCTCCGCTTCTGATCCCGCTTCCTGCTAACGCACGCTCCACGAGGCAGCAAGTGGTGGATCGGGTACTCGGGCCCCTGTCACCTGGGTTGGAGACCAGGAGGAGTTCAGGTTCCCAGCTTCGGCCTGGCCCAGCCCTGGCTGCTCTGGGCATTTGAGGGTGAACCAGCAAATGGGAGATTTCTCGGTGTGTGTGTGTATGTGTGTGTGTCTGTTTCCGTCTGTTTCTCTGTGTGTGTGTGTGTCTCTCCTCCAAATAAAATAAGTAAATTTTTTTAAAAAGCATAATCCGGCCGGCGCCGCAGCTCACTAGGCTAATCCTCCGCCTTGCGGCACAGGCACACCGGGTTCTAGTCCTGGTCGGGGTGCCGGATTCTGTCCCGGTTGCCCCTCTTCCAGGCCAGCTCTCTGCTGTGGCCAGGGAGTGCAGTGGAGGATGGCCCAAGTGCTTGGGCCCTGCACCCTATGGGAGACCAGGATAAGTACCTGGCTCCTGCCATCGGATCAGCGCGGTGCGCCGGCCGCGGCAGCCATTGGAGGGTGAACCAACGGCAAAGGAAGACCTTTCTCTCTGTCTCTCTCTCTCACTGTCCACTCTGCCTGTCAAAAAAAAATTTTTTTTAATTAAAAAAAATAAAAAATAAAAAGCATAATCCAATTAGAGTTTATGTTATTTAAAAAGAGTGATGTAGGAAAGTAGCTTAATTGTGCTCTTTAGATTAGAAATATTTACAGTGGATTTGGTTTTGTATACTGCCAAGAGCCTTTTCATGCCCACATCCTCCGGACTGAAATTACTGGGGACAAACGCTGGAGAAACTGGAGTCCTGGAAGGACGTTTGGTCTCGCTGATGTTGATTCTTGAAGCCGCTCGCTGAGTCAGTGTTTATCGAACATCTTCTGTTTCTGGTGTCGGGCACAGAGCAGGGAAGAACAGGATCAGAAGGGGGCATGCGGACTGGGGGGGTGCCAGGAGCCACAGAGCTCAGTGCAGTTTGGTCAAGGCAGGACAGACAGCCGGAGGCGGGGGGGGGGTGAGGAGGGAGGACCGTGCGGGATTCTGGGCAAAGCTCGTACCAAGGCGAGGCAGGCTCAGGAATGCACAGCCGGCCTGCTTCTACAGACGCCGGGACTGCAAAGTCTGAGCAGCTTCCCCGCGGGCACGAGCGGGGCCCTGCGATTCCCAGGACTCCAGCGCAGAACTGGTTCCGCGTTTCTCTCCGTGCGTGACGATGCTAAGTCGCTGTCACCTGTGAAAATACTCTGCAGACATCTGTCTTATTTGTTCAGGAGAACCATGATTGACCTCCTAAAATTAGCACAGTATCAGTTCCCATCAGGCACCAGCGTGCTAACAGTAAAAATAATACACGGCATAAAAACCAAGTTGTTTATTTATATTCAGAATATCAGAACGTATCAGACGCTAGTTATGTTTATGGCTAAGATAATGCAGTCATTAAATACATATCATCTCTGTAGAAATAGAAACCTAATCCTTGGGTAGTTCCGCTCTCTTTATAAAAACTCGCAAGTGTATTTTATTCCTTATATGAAATTGTTTCTTTTTTAATCCAAGGAAATACTTTTCCTAGGGGTTATTCTTGTACTCAAGTACAAAAATATTGAGTCACAAATTTTGTCTGGTGGTACACACAGTCACAATTTTAAAGCAAAACTGTCCCGCAGAGACTGGGTATTTGCTGTACACAGAATGCAGCAGGACAAGAACACTGACTATTTTTGCTCATTTCATTACTTTTAGGTAGTTTTTGTACCCACAGCTTGTTTCTAAGTCATTATTTTTATTAATGTGTCATTTTTTCTATTTCTCCTAGGAGAGCGTTTTGCCAAACACAATTCTTGTCTGTTATAACAATAATCTATTTATTTTCTTCACACAATCAGGATCCCTCCCTCCTGAGGAGAAGCTAACATTGTCGATGGAAACATGTTTGGCTCCATTGACGTGGTTTATGGTTTTAGCGCCTGCCCAGCTCCTCTGCAGCCGAAGTCGTACAGTTCATGTTGTGTTCCTGGAATCGTTCACGAGCGATTCTCTTTTATCTGAGTGCAGAAGGGAAATTGGCTGAAATTGGAAATAGATCACCTTTCGTGCGGGTACCCTGCCTGCAGATGGCATTATCTGATATCGTAGGGTCGCCATCTAGCGGCTCCGCTGGATACGCGTTTGTTAATTTTCTACCGCTGATTCAGACAAGCGGAACTTCGTAGCAGTGTTCCAAAATGAGACAAGGGCAAGAATGGACGTGCACTAATGTAAAGGTTATTTTCCCATCACAACACCTCTAAAATACTTCAATAAGTTAAACTAAATCAAATAGTAAAATACAAGTGAACAAGTCATAGTTTTCTAGAAATCCCCTCTTTGTACAGATTACATGGTGAACATGCAGCCCAGTCCCCAAACACGACATTTAAAGTAATTCTACAGGATGCTCTTTGTGTTTGATGGGATAATTCTGCCCCCGAACCTGTGGCTGCTGCTTCCAGCCACCTGCGGTTCTCGTGGCTTCTGGGCTACAGGTGTTTCTAGTGCCGGGCACCTAAGCTGGGTCTGCCCAGGACCAGGCCCGGGCACCACCAGTGACCACACGAGCACCTTCCCTGTGCTGGCGAGGACAGAGCGGCCCCGTGCCCTCTGCTTGGGAGGCGGCGTTGATCTCCCTGGGCTCAAGCTAGACGCTTACACCTTTCTTTGTTTAACAAAGGTTTGGTGTTGAGTTTTTTTCCTGCTTTTCTGATTGCAAAGATACGTTGTCCTTTCTTGAGACTCGGCATGTGTTTGTGTGATTCTTTGGTTTTAAATCTGCACGCTCACCGCACCCCACCCCTCACTTCCACCCTTCAGCGACGGCCTGATTCAGCTCTGAGCTCCCCCATCCTCGTGAAAGACTGAGCCAGGGACCCACAACCCAAAGGACAGCCGCCTGGGTTACAGACAGCTCTGGCAGATTTTGAAGTTCCCCTTTGAAATCACGTGCGTGAGTGCAACTTCTCGCTACAAGAAAGCCATGAAAGAGCTCGCAGGTTACCGACCAGAGCAGATCTAGGCAGCCCACCGAGCGCCCTTCCTGCTCCCATTCAGGAAGGGGGAGACTGAGACACAGACGGGCTGAGCACCCTGCTAACGCGCGGCAGTCAGGACGAAGCCCCGGCCACCTGACTGCGGCCCCGCCCCGCGCCCCAGCGCGTGTCAAGTCCACGTGCGGCCGGTGTCCTGGTGGTCTGTGCTGTGTCTCCAGACGTAGAAGCAGGTGCTGACTGCTGTTTATCCGGTGTTTCCCCGTAGGCAGCGAGTTGTTTGCGGGCCTCTACAGTGACTACTGGGGCAGAGACGCGGCCCTCTTCCGGAGCCCGGGCCAGCTGGCCCCGATCCGCACCGAGCCCGACAACGAGCGCCTGCTGAAAGGTAGGTGGAGAAGAGGCGGAGGCTGAGGACGGAGGGCGGCGCTGGAACCCAGGGACCCCCTGCCGTTCTGACCGCCACACGAATTTCAGGATGTTTTCACCAGCGACATTCCTGAGTTAAGGCATCACGTCTGACTGTGCCTCATTTTATAGCAAACAGATTGCCTTAATTATGAAACCAATTTGCCTTCATAGCAGTGCTCAGAAATCAGGATTTAAATGAGGAAGACAAAGCAAATACATGCCCAGTGGGAAAAAATAAGGTGTTTTATCTGTCTTACCACAGTTATCAATTGGTATGATTTTTGATGAATTTGTTGTCTTCCTTTGCTTGTTTATTTAATTATTTTATTTGAAAGGCAGAGGGAGAGAAAGAGATCATCCATCAGCCGGTTCACTCCCCAAATGACCTCAGGAGCTTCATCCAGGTCTCCCACGGGGTGGCAGGGGCCCAAGCACTTGGGCCGTTTTCCACTGCTTACCCAGGGACAGTAGCAGGGAGCTGGATGGAGAATGGAGCAGCCGGGACTTGAACCGACGCCCATATGGACTGGTGGCAGCTTAACCCACTGCACCGCAATGGCAGGCCCCTCGTGTTAATAGGCCACCTTGCACTGGAGAGAGAAAACTCTAGAAAAACTGCTGTGTGCTCTTTGACATAGAATTCTTTGGGAGGAATCATTCCGATACTTGGGCTCACTGGAATGTCTAGGTGGCTAAAACACTACTTTCTTGTGAGAGTTTTCATGATTCTAGCATTTTTATTAACCTCCAAATGCATAGTCATTATTGGCGGCATGTTATTAAATATGTCATATGCATTACACATGTCTCTACTGCGTTTGGCCTAGCAGCTAAGACACGAGTCGAGACACCCACAGCCCATATCAGAGCGCCTGGGTGCCAAGTTTCAAGCTCTACTCTCCCTCTGCATCCCAGCTTCCTGTTCGTATTCACCCCAGAAGCCAGCAGGTGACGGCTCAAGTAGTTGGGTCCCTGCCACCCATGTGGGAGACCAGGTTTGACACCCGGGCTCCTGGCCTCAGCCTGTCCCAGCCCTGGCTGTTGCGAGCATTTGGAGAGCGAACCAGTGGTTGGATGTTTGCTATATGTTTGCATGTGTGCTCTTGCACTCTCTCTCCCCTTCTCAAATTAATTAAATTTTTAAAAAAATTTATAGTTCATGTCAATCAATAGTTACTCAAATCCCTTAGGCTGCAAACACAAAAAAAAAAAAAAAAACTTTAAAATTTTTCTAATTAAAACTAAGACAGGCCGGCGCCGTGGCTCACTAGGCTAATCCTCCGCCTCGCGGCGCCGGCACACCGGGTTCTAGTCCCAGTCGGGGCACCGGGTCCTGTCCCGGTTGCCCCTCTTCCAGGCCAGCTCTCTGCTGTGGCCAGGGAGTGCAGTGGAGGATGGCCCAAGTGCTTGGGCCCTGCACCCCATGGGAGACCAGGATAAGTACCCGGCTCCTGCCATCGGATCAGCACGGTGCGCCGGCCGTGGCGGCCATTGGAGGGTGAACCAACGGCAAAGGAAGACCTTTCTCTCTGTCTCTCTCTCTCACTGTCCACTCTGCCTGTCAAAAAAAAAAACTAAGACAGGAGCAGGCTTTAGCCTGGCAGTTAGCATGCCTGGGTCCCACGTCGGAGCGCCTGGCTCTGGCTCCTGGCTCCAGCCGACTGCCAGTCCAGGCCCTGGGAGGCAGCGGCTGGGAGGAGTCCAGGGTCCCTGCACCCACGTGGGAGATGGGGCTTGTGTTTCTGCTCCCGGCTCTAGCCCAACCCATCCTGGCTATTACAGGCATTTGGAGAGTGAACCAACAGACAGGAGCGCTCACTCACTGTCCCTCCCTCACTCCCCCCATCATATAAAAAAAAAAAAAAAACCTAAAATGCGCTTCCTTGAGTTATCCTGGTAGGCAGGTACTAATTTTTTAAAAAGTAATGATAGACTTTTCACTTTAATATATTACTTATATTTACACTCCCTTTTTAAAAAAGATTTATTTATTTACTTGAGAGGCAAAGTTACAGACAGAGAGGGAGAGACAGAGAGAGAGAATCTTCCATCCGCTGGTTCATTCCCCAAGCGGCCACAGTGGCAGGAGCTGGGCTGATCCAACACAAGGAATCAGGAGCTTCTTCTGGGTCTCCCACGTGGGTGCCGGGGCCCAAGTACCTGGGCCGTCTCCCACTGCTTTCCCAGATGCATTAGCAGGGAGCTGCATGGGAAGTGGAGTAGCTGGGACTGGAACCAAGGCCCATATGGGATGCTGGTGCCACAGGCGGAGGCTTAACCTACTGTGCCACAGGGCTGGCCCCTATATTCACTTTCTATCTACAAATGAGACAAATTTATGGCGATTACCCTCATTTCGCCCCCAGCTTGTACCTCCTCTGAATGCATTTTGTCATCTCTATTCTTCAAAATTATGTTTTCCTCTCCCCGACTTTTAATATCCAATTAAATGTCTTTAGATTAATTTTCCTGAATGTCTGTTGATTTATAAATGAAAAAAAAGGAGATAGCTGTGTGGTTTTTAATGCTCAGTTAAAACGTTCAAGGAAAATTTTATTTCTTCATTAAATGCTGAGAGCGATCAAGTAAAATATCATTTACTAGAAAGCTTATTCTTTTGTTGTAATCTCTGTTTGACTTTTTCTTCTTTTTTTTTTCTTTTTTCTTTTTTTTTTTTTTTTTGCTTCCATAGAACCAAAATTTGTAGGGTCCTATATGATTCCCGACAATGAAGATCGAGACGACAACAAAGTGTATTTCTTTTTTACTGAGAAGGCCCTGGAGGCGGAACACGGAGCCCACGCGATTTACGCCCGCGTGGGACGCCTCTGCGTGGTGAGGACCGCCTCTCTCTCTCCCTCGGCTTGCTCGGCACACAGCTGAGGGCCAGGGCTTTGTTCCTTCCATAGTAGGTTTCTACTTGAAATCATTTGCTAGTGTTCTGTACGCTGCCTAAAACTGCCGTGCACTAACTAAACCAGTCTTCACACTGCGCATCTATAAACGCTTCTGAACTAGGGAAAATTTTACCCTAAAAGAGGCCTGCATTTTGTAGGATTTACCCCATTTTCAAAGCCACACTAAGAAATGTTAGTCTGTGGCCGGCGCCGCAGCTCACTAGGCTAATCCTCCGCCTTGCGGCGCCAGCACACGGGGTTCTAGTCCTGGTCGGGGTGCCGGATTCTGTCCCGGTTGTCCCTCTTCCAGGCCAGCTCTCTGCTGTGGCCAGGGAGTGCAGTGGAGGATGGCCCAAGTGCTTGGGCCCTGCACCCCATGGGAGACCAGGAGAAGCACCTGGCTCCTGCCATCGGATCAGCGCGGTGCACCAGCCATGGTGGCCATTGGAGGGTGAACCAACGGCAAAAGGAAGACTTTTCTCTCTGTCTCTCTCTCTCTCACTGTCCACTCTGCCTGTCAAAAAATAAAAAAAAAAGAAATAGATAAATAAATAAAAGAAATGTTAGTCTGTAATTTAGGTTGTATTTCTCCCCTACACAGAGGTTTGAGCTCTGTTTTTTAATGAATTTAACCAAAATCTTCATTTCAGCTCAGAGTGTAAATAATATGTATAGTTGTGTTTGCACAATTCAGTTGATTGTTCCTATAAAAAAAAAATTTGTAGTTTCTTGAATATTCAGACAGGTTGGGAATATTCTAAATGAATTGAAATACCTACATACATTGAGGAGATGCTAATAATATTACACATGTATGGTCACTTTGGCATGTAAGAAGGCACTTAAGATTAAATGTAAGAAGTGATTTATATGATTATATGAGGAGTCTTCAAAAGGTTCATGGAAAATGTGTATTATGGAAAAATGATGCCTGGATTCCAAATTTGGTTTGCATCAAGATAGATCAAACTAGCTTGTTATGAAAACAGCTTGTCTGAAGAGCATCTGGTTTGAGGCATTAAGGTGGAGAAGAAATCAGTTTGGGAAGCGTCTCTGTCAAAGCCAAGTAAATTCTGCTAAAACTGAACAAAGAACAAGTTCATGGTGAAGCTGGGGTGGAAGAGTGGTGAAATCATTCATGCTTTACAAAAGTTTAGGGATAACTCGCCCAGGGAAGTAGCAGTTTACAAACGGTGTCTTGTTTGAAGCAGAAATCAAGATCCAAGACACTGTTGAAAGTGAAGCCCACAGCAGATCTTCCACTTCCATTTGAGGCAGAAAATAATCTTCATGCCCCGGCTGAAGAGTACTGTGGGGAGCAACCCGGACTAGACTAAGTTACTGGAATTAAGACTTATTCTATGCATCTGCTCTCCCACAATATGGCGCTGAGAAGGGAGAAACAGCTTCTACACAGCTGCCTCCAGTTCAACCAATAAACTGTAGGACCTGCTCCTGATTGGAGGAGAGCAGCGTACTCAGCGTGTAGGTAGCAGAGTTGGGATTGGTGGAAGAGGACTATAAAGGAGGAGAGAGACAACATGCACCAGGAACATCTAAGGGGAACATCTAAGGGGAACACCTGTGCAGCCCCCGAGAAAGCCGGCCGGCGGTGTGCCGCTCCCCTGCGGAAGTGGGGAATGTGGCCAGGGGGAACTGCCCTTCCACGGAGGTGGAAGGGATAGTAGCCAACCCGGGAAGAACCAGCAGCAAACCCGGGGAGGGCCGAGCAGACAAAAGAACAGCGCAGGGTCCTGTGTCGTTCCTCCACGAAGAGGGGGAGCGACATAATGGTGCCGTGACTCGGATATGAAGCCTAGGCAGGACTTAGTGTCGTTCCTCCATGAAGACGGGGAGCGACAGAGTACCAGTGACCAACAGAAGCAGTATCCAGCACCGTGGACATCTCAACCAGTTCAGCTTCACAAATCTGACAATAAAATTAAAATTTTTTGAAATATTTATTTATAAGTCAAAATTAGAGAGAGAGCGAGATCTTCCATCCACTGGTTCACACCCCAAATGACCTCAGCAGCCAGGGCTGGGCCAGGCTGAAGCCAGGAGCCAGGAGCTTCTTCCAGGTCTCCCACACGGGTGCAGGGGCCCAAGCACTTGGGCCATCTTCTCCTGTTTTCCCAGGCCGTTAGCAAGGAGTTGGGTTGGAAGTAGAGCAGCCAGGACTCGAACTAGCACCCATGTGGGATGCTGGACTAGCACCCTTGTGGGATGCTGGTGCTGCAGATGGCGGCCCCTAAAACAAATTTCTGCTCAACGGGTACCAAAACACTGGTGTGCAAGTCAGCTGCCGACAAGAGCAGGGCTTTCGACAGGAATTTTAAACCAATGGAACCGGGATCCCGAAGCATTTCCGAGAGGACTTGGAGCAGATGAAACACGGCTTCAGCAGCAGGAAACCTGAAGACCAAGCAGAGTCAGGCAACGGCTAGAAAGAGGTGGACATGTCCGGTCACAGCACACGTGGACCCGTCGAGAGCAAAGGTCCCGGCAGCATTTGGGGAGGAGTTCACGGCATCTCCCTGTTGACTTCCCGGAGGACGGGAGAACGGTAACATCTGCTTATCCGGGGAGTCCTGGGAGAAACTCAGCCAGAGAGGCGGGGGGAAAATGTGAGGAAAGTGTCCCCGGTCCTCCCCGCCGCCTCCACGTCGCACCCCCGCACCCCCGCACCCCCGCCGCCTCCACGCCACACAGGGGCGACTTTGCGCAAGTTTCCACGAGAGATCGTTAGCTCCGCCTTCGTCTTGATTTGGCTCGTTCTGACGTGTTTTTGACTTCTAATCTTAAAGGACACCCACTTTCTCTTCGGTTGGTAAAGTGAAACACGCTGCCTTGATGCGCTGAGTTCCCAGGGCTTGGGTTTCTGAGAAGGCTGATGCTGGCATCGTCGCTCACGGAAGCGCCATGAGCGCAGTAGAGCTTATGATGAGAAATAGATGTGCACTGCGACTGTTTGCCATGGACTTTGTGAAGATGCCCTCTCTATGTATATATATTCATGTGTATGTGATGTACCTATAACACGTGGATGTGTGTATATTAAGTGTGTGCATATGCATATATGTAATGTGTATATTGCATGTATGTGTGTGTTTCAAGCTTTTTTACTGAAGGAAGCAAAAGGGGTGGATAATTCATATTCCTGACATAGGCAGATTGCTTGCTTATCAATAAAAGAGTAAAGTTGCTTTATCATAAAATCGCTGCTGTATTTAGAAGAGACTTTTTTTTTTTTTTTTTTGGACAGGCAGAGTGGACAGTGAGAGAGAGAGACAGAGAGAAAGGTCTTCCTTTGCCGTTGGTTCACCCTCCAATGGCTGCTGCAGCCAGCGCACCGCGCTGATCCAAAGCCAGGAGCCAGGTACTTATCCTGGTCTCCCATGGGGTGCAGGGCCCAAGCACCTGGGCCATCCTCCACTGCACTCCCTGGCCACAGCAGAGAGCTGGCCTGGAAGAGGGGCAACCGGGACAGAATCCGGCGCCCCGACCGGGACTAGAACCCGGTGTGCAGGCGCCACAGGTGGAGGATTAGCCTAGTGAGCCGCGGCGCCGGCCTTAGAAGAGACTCTTAATATTGTTAACACCTGGAAAACATTGGATGCACAGAGTGAAAATACACCAGCTAGGTAGAATGTGCAAGTATGCGGAATCCCATCACAGTATTTGAGGATTTTACTGAATTTTCCTGGTTAAAGAAAAATCCGTGACTCTCGGCATCTGCGCGCCTCTACCATGAAACCTGCTGCTGCCGGCGCGGGTGCTGCGGACCCACCTGCCTGCTCTGTTTTCACAGAACGACGCGGGCGGGCAGAGGATCCTGGTGAACAAGTGGAGCACCTTCCTGAAGGCGAGACTGGTTTGCTCGGTGCCAGGAGTGAACGGGATTGACACGTACTTTGATGAACTCGGTAAATGTGATCAAGAGAAGTAAAGCTGCCCCTTGGATGCATGTGACCCCCATACCTCTGTCTGTAGCACACATGGAAAACTTGCTCCCTGCAAAATTTGACCTCTGTGTGTCTTGGGCAAGTCTGCTCTTCTTGTATGAGGCCAGGTCACCAGGTAGGGAGCACAAGACTGGTAGGAATAAAGAGCCCCATCGCACAGCTAAGAGCCAGTGGTGCCTCTGGTTCCTTCCTGCTGGTTAGCCCATTGCTCCCAGAACCACCACGCAAGCCATGTGGCCATGGTTGTATGACTATAAATGAAATTTATACCTTAGCATCTATAACAGATTCTGAGCCATTTTGCAGGAATGTATTTTCTTTGTATGCAAAGAGAGCTAAAAATACAAAATAATGGTCTTTAATTTTTCAGAGGATGTGTTTTTGCTGCAGACCAGAGATCATAAAAACCCAGTGATATTTGGACTCTTTAACACTACCAGGTGAGAAATGTATATGGTGAATCCAAACAATACTCAACAGCAGTGTCTCGCCATCTTCACAGTGGACGTAATTTGAAAATACGACCGACCCACTGTCATCTCATCTTCCCTGTTCTGTGAGTCACTGTTTCCCTGCGCTTGCAATCACAGTTTCATTCTCAAAGTCACTGTCTCAGTCCAGATCGTGACCTTCGGTTGTCCATCGTACCCCAGAATCCTCTCATTCCTCTCTAATCTATGACAGAATGATTTCCTCGTAGTTTGTAAGATGTTATTCCCATGCCATGAGTCTAGGATAATTTTTTTAAGATGGATTGATCACTGATTGACTTGAAAGGCAGAGTTACAGGGAGAGAGAGGGAGAGACAGAGATCTGGTATCTGCTGGTTCACTCCCTAAATGGTCACAATGGCTGGGCCTGGGCCAGTCCGAAGACGGGAGCCTGAAGTTATATCCGGTCTCCCGTATAGGTGGCAGGGGCCCAAGCACTTGGGCCATTTTCCATTGCTTTCCTAGACAGATTAGCTGGGAGCTGGATTGGAAGTGGAACAGCCAGAACTCAAACTGGCATTCACGTGGGATGCCAGCGTTGCAGGCAGTGGCTTAGCATGCCGTGCCACAGCATGGGACGATTTGTTTCTCCATCAGCTAGCGTTTTCTAAGTCAGCTTTCAGGATCTCAGTGAACTGCTACCCACTCACATCTGGAAGATTCTCCGAGCGCTCTGATGTTTTTGACAAGACAGTACCTGGATGGATTCCAGTGTGTAGTTCCTATCATTGTATTTTTTCTAAAGATTTATTTATTTATTTGAAAGGCAGAGTTAGAGGCAGAGGCAGAGCAAAAGAGATCTTCCATCACTGGTTCACTTCCCAAATGGCCACAACGGCCAGAGCTGAGTCAATCCAAAGCCAGGAGCCAGGAGCTTCTTCGGGTCTCCCACGCAGGTGCAGGGGCCCATCTTCTACTGCTTTCCCAGGCCATAGCAGAGAGCTGGATCAGAAGGGGTGCAGTCGGGACTCAAACTGGCACCGTATGGGATGCTGGCGCTGCAGACAGTGGCTCTACCTGCAACACCACAGCGCCAGCCCCATCACTGTATTTTTATGTGTTCACTTCCTGTGCTTGAAACAACTCTCTTCCAACACGGATCTGTGTGAGTTCTCCAGTGCCTGTCTATCAGTCTCCAAGAAATATCCCGATTCCCTACTCCCACAGCACCCGGCTCACCCTGTCTCCACCAGTCCTGCTCCCATGTAGATTCACAGTGAACGCACTTTGTGGTTTGTTCTCCATCTTTCGAATCCGCTGCTCAAGTTTAGGGCTTGTCACCTATTATTTGTCCCTTCCCCATCCACGGAAGAGCGCTGTGAAAATGAAGGTTCCGTACATAGGTACTATTGCTAGAACCTGTCTTGGCCAGGGTGTGCATTGACAGTTGGCCGGGCCTTTCCAAATAAGGAGAGTGTGGGTAGACCGATTGGGGTGAGAAATAAAGGACTGGGTCTCAGCTCCCCACAGGGGCGGGATGACTCAGCTCAGCGCCTCTCCTGACGTGGCCGGCACTGCCAGGGGTCCTGTGCTCCTGGGGGCGGAGCCACACAGCACTGGCTTGGTCCTCCACTGGGCGATGTCTGCTGCTCACTTAGCAAAAACGGTAGAGGCCTTCGGGCAAGGATCCTGTTTTCTAAAGAGGCCTCCCTTGGACAAAGAAACAAGGAAGTAACGTTTGCCATCAAGTACGCTTGAACGCGAGGGAAGTGGTGGGTGTGGGTGGAGATCGTCCTAGTCCGCAGAAGTCCTACCTTCGCCCCAGTGACCATTTATACATTGCAGGATAATTCTGCTGCTTTGATAAATGCAACTGTGGAGGAAGCACTGTAGTCTCTCTGTAGTCTCTCCCTGGTTAGCATGATCAGTTTGTCAACTGCTCTCCTACGGGTGGCTTATTAGAGTTTTCTGAGAAATCCAAGACAAGACAGGATTTTCTTCCCTAATTTCCACTATGAGTGTTCAACCTAAGATTCCCAGGTGTTGGCTGACATAAAGGTTGGTATTTATAGAGCAGTGATCGAAGGTTTATTGCCACGTTAACTGAGAGGCTCTCTCTGGTTCTCCCAGTATCCCAGGCATCTCCAGTTGCTTCAAGGTGTATTCCAAAATGTGGGAATTGCTGCCCGGAGACAGAAACAAAACTGCTGCGCTGCAGGTGTCTCGGGATGCAGGAAATGTTACATGTACACCGAATTTTACGTTCTGCAAAGCACTTCCACAGATAGTATTTATCTGAGTCCCACCGTACAGAAGCAGGGGAAACGTTATTTAAAACCTTTACGAATACCCTCTCGTGGAGCCTGATTACAGATGCCCCGGTAACACTTGTCGTCAGCCACCGTCTTCATCCTCTGAAAACTGAAATGTTGATCAAGATGGTCATTTCAATTGCCACGAGGTCTGGAAGGGAGGAACCGGAATTTTGTATGTCTTCAGTAATTTTTCACGTTTCATCTAGTCAGTTCAGTCTCTTTCCCACGGCGCCAGGCTTCATTAACCTGGAGGAAAGAATCCCACGTGATGGGCTGTTTATGTGGCCCGTGCTAAAAGGATGGAACCAAGTCCTAATTTCATGAGTCGAGAAACTGTGCTTCTGACCATATTCACTGGGAAATCTCAAAAGCCTTTAACATCGTCTGTGGCAGTGTTAGTATGGTGACTAACAGAACACAGTTCGTTTTAAAGATGGAAACATAAGTGGAGACAACACCTTGAAATGACAAATTGAACCAACTAATGAATTTTTGAAAAACAGATGCTACTAAGGGCAGCTCTTGAATAAAAAAATACAAAAGCACAGTGTAGAATTTAAGAGTAACCAAGTGAAGTGACACCCCCACTTTTCTCATTCTACCAATGTCAATTTCAAGTATAGTAAATTAGAGGTTTGGAGGAGCTTTAATATTTAATGTATTGTGAGGGTTAGTATTCCTAGAATATCCTATAATGAAAGAAATCGCAGCTGTTCCACCTGGGGGACTGGATTCCAGTCTGTGTTTGCTGAAGTGTTTGCAAGGTGACCTGCTAGTGAGTTGCAGATGTAATTATCTCTCCTTTTTTATCATTTTTAGTAATATATTTAGGGGGCATGCGATCTGTGTCTATCACATGTCCAGCATCCGGGAAGCCTTTAACGGGCCGTACGCCCACAAGGAAGGACCTGAGTACCACTGGTCACTCTACGAAGGAAGAGTCCCTTACCCAAGACCTGGCTCTGTGAGTTTCCGTTTACAGGGATTCTTGTTTCTTTGTGCTCTCTCTTGATACTGTTGTGTTAATGCTTTCATTGTGCTTCACAGTTAAACAGCTTAGGAATTCTACACCCAAAAGCACTTGGTTGCTGCCCAGTGGAGGAACGAGACTTCTCACATCAAGTCGCGTGCTTGGTTTTTAGTGAAAAGGACAGAGCCCAGAATGCATGTTTTAGCAGCATTGCCACTTACCTGTTAGCGCTGACGTTTGGGCCGAGTAGCTCCCACTAGATTTTTGAGGGTGCTCCTGAGCACAGACACCTCCCATAACATGAGCGTGACGCTCCCCCCAGCCTGCTCGGAAGAACTAGCCCCGCGTGTAGCTTCCGCGAGAAAGTGACCAAATGCTCGTGTTGTAACGCGGTCAGCCTCTGAGCAGCCGGGGCCGAGGCCGGACTTGCCACCTCCTCCCGACAGCAGGTCGAAAGCAGCGCGCCCTGCCCCTCCGAACGTTCAGCACCTCCTTTAAGATCTTGTGGGTCTCCCGGAAGACAAGTGAGTACAGGGAGTCCCCCCTCGCCTCGCAGTTGATGCTAACAGGAGGCTGGGACGTGGCTGTGTTTCATCACACACCCGTCTAAAGGCGATGGCGGCTGCGGTGGTGACTTTATACCACGGGGCCCTGCGTGCTTGAGGAAACTGCTGGCTCATCATGTGCCTTGTGGCCATGGAGAGCAGACACTGAACCTCTCGTGCGAGTCAACAGCCACCCTTTTACGAGCAGCTGGTGAAATCCCATCGCCAGACCAGCGCCACAGTTACGGGAGACTTGAGGATGCGACCCTCACTGAGCTCCTCCCTGGCCAGCCCAAAACGTTTCCAGCTAAACACTGTGAAAGTGTACGCAAGTGAAAAATCCATGCCGAATTAAGAACCGCGGCCTGGCTTTTAAAAACAAATCATGGGAAACACCTCTTTTGCAGATCTGATTAATAAACTACCGTATTTATAGTCTAAATTGGAAAATTTTCATCAAGATCACCATTGACATTGCTGTTGGTTCTGGATGAAAATATTCCAGACGAGAGAGCGCTTGTGAGTACGCGGGAATGGCGTGACGAAGGCGGTTTGGGGTCACTGAGGGTGCTGTTGCGCATGTAGTTTTAGACTCCGTGACTGAAGAACAGGACGTGGCACTGCAGGCGTTCCTAGTGTTTGCTGTTTATTGTGTCTAACCTCTACAAAGAAGATAAATTCATACAGATTGTAGTAGTAGAACAGAAAGGGTTCTTCCCTTGATAGCTAACCATGATGAAACTGGAATAGGCTTATATGTTTGCATACATAGTCTAGAAAATAGGTTTATATGTTTGCATGTAAGTTCTAGAAAATTCTAGAGGCAGCGAGCCCATGGGAACCATCACCAGTCATGGGAAAGCTGTTTGTAAAGTCCTCACTTTTTTTTTTTTTTTTTTTTTTTTTTTTTTGGGCAGAGTGGACAGAGAGACAGAGACAGAGAGAAAGGTCTTCCTTTGCCGTTGGTTCACCCTCCAATGGCCGCCACAGCGCTGATCCGATAGCAGGAGCCAGGTACTTCTCCTGGTCTCCCATGGGGTGCAGTGCACTCCCTTTTGAATGAAGATTCAGCACAACAAAGAGCCTTCTTGTTTTGCTGTGAATGGCAAGAGTCTTTGCCTTCAACTTTTAACTCACAGTGTGAAACAAATGTAACAAAAGTGGGAAAATAATTTGAATACTTCTGGTGCCATACATTTTTACCACCCCCAAACTGTCCTAGTATTAAATATAATTTCACTTTTCCAGGGTTTCACTACCATCTGTGTATTTCTTATACAGCGTATTTGAAATAATTTAGCCTCCCTTTGCAATTTTTTTAAGATTTTATTTATTTATTTGAAAAGTATAGTTATAGACAGTGAGAGGGAGAGACAGAGAGAAAGGTCTTCCTTCTGTTGGTTCACTCCCCAGATGGCCGCAATGGCCGGAGCCAGGAGCCTCCTCCAGGACTCCCACAGGGTGCATGGGCCCAGGGACTTGGGCCATCTTCTGATACATTCCCAGGCAAATTAGCAGGAAGCTGGATAGGAAAGTGGAGCAGCCAGGACTAGAACCGGCACCCATATGGGATGCCGGCACCGCAGGCTGAGGATTAACCTACTGCGCCACAGAGCCGGCCCCTGCAATTTTTTTAAAGACTTCTTTTTTTTTTTTTTTTTCTTGAAAGGTAAGGTTACAGGTGAGAGGGGTGGAGGGAGACAGAGAGAGAGAGAGATTGATCTTTCACCCCTAGATGGCCACAGTGGCCAGAGCTAAGCCAGGCCAAAACCAGGGGCCTGGAACTTCCTCGGGGTCTCCCACATGGGTGCAGGGGCCCAAGCACTTACGCTGTCTTTCGCAGCTTTCCCAGGCCCTTTAGCAGGGAGCTGGATCGGCAGTAGAACATCCAGGGCTTGCTTGAACCGGTGCCCTTACAGAATGCCAGTGTCGCAGGTGGGGGCTTAACCTGCTACGCCACAACTCCGGCCCAGTCCCTTTGCAAGTTTTAGTACAGGATCCATTTAGGTAGTAAATGGTTACTAAATATTTCTAAATGCGTACTTAATTAAGCATATACAGCTTTTCTAACTTCTTGTAATTGATTCTAAAGTTTCCTCTTTAAATTAAGCAGAAAGAAATCTGTAATCCGCTTGTTTGCAGTGTGCCAGCAAGGTGAACGGAGGGCGGTACGCGAGCACCAAAGACTACCCCGACGACGCCGTCCGCTTTACCAGGGGCCACCCCCTCATGTACCAGCCCATAAAACCTGCCCACAAGAAACCCATACTGGTCAAAACAGACGGGAAATATAACCTGAAGCAGATCGCGGTGGATCGGGTAGAAGCGGAGGACGGCCAGTACGACGTCTTATTTATCGGGACAGGTAAAGAAACGAGGAAGTGTCATGTGAAGGAGCTGGTCTCAGAGGCGCAGGGCACCACGGGCATGACCAAGCTGGGAAGAGCAGGAGAGAGGGAGGGGCAAAGGCTGACTGATGGCTACCAGGTTATGCCTAGAGAGGAGAGAGATATTCGGGGGTTCTACTCCCAGTGGGGTGACTGCAGATACTTGTAACGCACCGTGTGTTTTTCTAAGAAAGCAGCTAGAAGAAGGGGTTTTAAATATTTTTACCACGAAGAAATGATAAATGTTTAAAACGATGGAGGTGGTTGCCCTCCGTTGTACACGGTATGGTGTATACGGATATTGAAACGCCACATGGTGCCCCACAGATGTGTCCAGCTTGTGTGTGTCAGTTCCAAATAGGTCAGTTGACCCTTAAAGTCTATTCACTGGTCTAAAAGACCTGTCCACAGGTCACCTGTAGATCCGTTAGCCCATTCGCACACCGCTTTCCAAAACGAGAAGATGGAACGAGGCCCCTGTGATGGCAGCCACCAGAGTTCATGCCTGTCGCGTGGGAATAATTAGCACCATTACCACTTTCACTGCCAAAAAGTGCCACAACCCAGCCAAGAAATTACGCAGTCTTTCTGGTTTCGGAGCTGAGAGATAGTGAAGCAGTCGAAGCGTTCGAGGCCATTTCTGCACATCATTCCTGATACGTCGGCAATATTCCAGTACATTTCAAGAAATGAGCAGCTGATGTTAATGAGCAATGTTGCCCAACTGGAACTTCTCATCCTGGAAGGAGGGTACCACAGCAAGGATGGCTGGGGCCGGCTCTGTGGCGTAGCAGGTTGAGCCGCCGTCTGCACCGCCGGCATCCCACATGGGCGCTGATTCGAGTCTTGGCTGCTTCACTTCTGATCCAGCTCTCTGCTAATGTTCCTGGGAAGGCAGTGGAAGATGGCCGAGTGCTCAGGGCACACATGGGAGACCTCATATGCTCCTGGCTTCTGGCTTTAGACCAGCCCAGCTCCGGCCATTGCAGCCATTTGGGGAGTGCAACATCAGATGGAAGACCTCTCTCTCTCTCCAACTCTGCATATCAAATAAATAAAATAAATCTCTTTTTTTGAAAGATTTATTTATTTATTTTGAAATAGTTACATGGAGAGAGAAGGAGAGGCAGAGAGAAAGAGATCTTCCATCCTCTGGTTCACTCCTCAGTAGGCGGCAAAGGCTGGAGCCGCGCTGATCTGAAGCCAGGAGCCAGGAGCTTCTTCCGGGTCTCCCAAGAGGGTTAAGGGTCCAAGGACTTGGGCCATCTTCTACTGCTTTCCCAGGCCATAGCAGAGACCTGGATCAGAAGAGGAGCAGCCGGGACTCAAACTGGCGGCCATCTGGGATGCTGGCACTGCAGGCAGCAGCTTTACCCACTAGGCCACAGTGCCAGCTCCAAAATAAATCTTGGGAAAAAAAAAAAAAAAGATGGCTCAGCTGTCCATTCCCCAGCTCCATTAGTGTCTTTGGTTACTCAGTGAGATCTCAGATTTTTATAAACTTGACATGAAAATTTCCCCTGAATCTGTTAATCACAGAAATATTTATCAGGCCCATCAGAATCAGAATCAACCATTCGTATCAAGCAGGGCAAACATTACCCACAAGGCAGGTAACCCTCTACACCAAAGCTATCATATGTTGTGCTAACAAGACAAAGTACAGGGGCTGGTGCCATGGCACAGTGGGTTAATCCTCCGTCTGCAGCGCCGGCATCCCATATGGGCACCGGTTCTGGTCCCAGCTGCTCCACTTCCGATCCATCTGCTATGGCCTGGGAAAGCAATAGAAGATGGCCCAAGTGCTTGGGCCCCTGCACCCTGTGGGAGACCTGGAGGAAGCTCCTGGCTCCTGGCTTCGGATTGGCACAGCTCCAGCTGTTGCGGCCATTTGGGAAGTGAACCAGTGGATGGAAGACCTCTCTCTCTGTCTCTCCCTCTCACTGTCTATAACTCTACCTCTCAAATAAATAAAATATTTTTTAAAAAAGACAACGTACATTGAATATGTTTAAAAGTGAAATTTTGAGATAAATTTATAATTTCAGTTAACGTCCTTAGCTCTAACTTATGGAGGAAAACACGGCCTCTTTCAGCATCCAGAATAATGGAAAGCGAATTCTATGAAGTACTAGAAAATGCTATGGTGGCGTTCGAGGGTGGCGCCCAGCCTCTCCGTCTTCCTGTCCCCTCCTTGGCGCTCTCCAGCTCCTGCCTCAGGTCTTTCTGTGCAGGATATAATTTGTTACTGTGGAGTTCCAGGTAGAGTTAAGGACCACATTTCTTTTATTTTTAAGATTAATTTATATGAAAGGCAGAGAGAGGGAGGAGAGAGATCTTCTATCTGCTGGTTCACTCCCTAAACAGCTGTAACAGCCAGAGCTGGGCCAGGCTGAAGCCAGGAGCCAGGAGCTTCTTCCAGGTGTCCCACGTGGGTGCAGGGACCCAAGCACTTGGGCCATCTTCTGCTGCTTTCCCAGGCCATAGCAGGGAGCTGGATTGGAAGAGGAGCAGCAGGGACTCGAACTGGTGCCCGTGTGGGAGGCTGGCATCGCAGGCATTGGCTTTACCTGCTACATCACAAAACCAGCCCCTACAGGTCATTATTATTTGTTTAATTATAATGTGACTTTATCAACCCAACCACAGGACACAAACATCAACAAGCTGCTCAAGTACCACAGAAATCCTTATCTTTTCTGAATTTCAGTTCTAGCACTATACCAAGTTATTTGTGTAGGCAACTTAAATCTTATTAAATTATCCTTCAAAAGAACAAGCCCAGAATATGAGAGAAAGATAAGATAAACTTTACAATGTAAATGTAAATTTACAAAATAATTGATAATTATGGAGGTCAGATCTTTGGTTTAGAAGGAGTCGTATGTTTCTCTCAGTGATGTATGATTCTTATTGAACGTGTGTGTGTGTACGTATTGCATGTGTATGTACGATGTCCACATATGTTGCCTGTAACGTTCCTTGGGGATACACGTAGTGTTTTCTACCTTGACAGTAGCTTTAAGTGAAAAGCTTTTTTCCATCATATGTCACAGAAGAAGCCGTAATAAAATGGCATCTGTATTACATTTCACAGTTTCAGAAGACATCTTGGTTTCTGAACCTATAATTGTATTTGAGGATAGAAATTATTTGAAAAAACACAAATATTATTGGATCAATTTTTTAGCCGAGCATAGAGATTTAATTTTTGCTCACTGCAAATGCAAGTATATAAATAGTCATATGGTTTTTAATTGTCAGTGGTTAAAATATTTTTTGCAACTCGATTGCAAATCTTACTGGAATTCTTAGTCCCTATGTACTTTTTAATTATTTGAAAACCAGGTTGTGACTTAGTTCCTCCTTTCTCTCGTTTTTCTTTAACAGACAATGGAATTATACTGAAAGTCATCACAATTTACAACCAGGAAACAGAGTCCATGGAAGAAGTCATTCTAGAAGAACTTCAGATATTCAAGGTATTTTTAGTCTAAAGTCCAGCCCACATGTGTGTGCCGAGGAGAATGCAAATGAGACGTAAATGGGAGACACCTCACGTCAGGCGTGTCCTCGCGGGGATTTGTGAAGTCCGAGCAAACCCAAGCGGGGAGGACTTCCGGTCCTGGCGCCTCTGTCTGATCCTCACAGACTTTTCAAAGGAAGAAGGCAGTTCAGCTCGCGTGAGAAGAATTTCCGTGCCCAGCCAAGACGAGGCCAGATAGCACAGAGGCCCCAGGTGAAGTCCAGAATGGTCACTGCCCAGGCGCTGCTGGTGCGAGGGGACTGTCCACGCTGACAGCAAGTGGTGTGTCTGCACCCAGGGGGCAGAGTGCTGTTGTCAGTGTGTGTTAACCACACAAAGAATTGACAGAAGAAAAGAGGTATAAATGATAGTGGAAAGTCTAGGCATGATGAAAACAGTCATGTGTACATGTGTGTGTTACAGTCATGCGCACATGTGTGTATTACAGGCATGTGCACACGTGTGTTACAAGCATGTGCACATGTGTGTTAGACACGTGTGCATAGGCGGGTCTCAGGCTCACAGCAGCAGCTGGCTCACCATGAACGGAATTCGTGATACACTGCCCATGGCCCCTGGGGGAGACACTGGGTCTGCTTCCTCAAATTTCTGATAACACTGTTGACGAATCGGTATATTAACTTGTTTGGTTTTTGATAAAGACGTCGTATTTTGTGTATTTTTTGATTAACTTTGAGCTCAGCCAGCTGCACTGTAACACACGCCTGATGACGCTTATCAGACAGAAGCATCTGGGCCTGAGGGCACAGCGCAGCCCTTAGGGCTCAGAAACACCGGATGGCATCTCGCCGCCAGGCGCGGGGGCCGTGCCAACAGCAGAGCGTCAACAAGAGGCAGAGATGTGGAAGACGCGCACTCAGTGGTCCAGGGAAAGGCACCTGCTGGCGTGACGGACGCTGAAGTGAGACGGCCGTGTCAGCCTGCCAGATTGTGGCTGGGGACACGCACGCCCTGCGCCCATCGTCTTGCTGACTTGTGCGTGCACGTTGTCTGTGAAAGGAAAATGCAGCAACCATTGATGCTGGAGTTACACACTGTACCAGGCAGGAAAGTGTGCAAAGCAGGATCTGTGAATCATGAAGACCGGCCATATAGGATGGAGTGGATATTATGAAAATACTTTATTTTTTAAGATTATTTATTTATTTGAAAGACAGAGTTACAGAGAGAGAGGGAGAGGGAGAGAGAGAGAGAGAGGGAGGGAGGGAGGAGAGAGAGGGAGGGAGGGAGGAGAGAGAGAGAGAGAGAGAGAGAGAGATGGATCTTCCCTCTGCTGCTTTACTCCCCAAATGGCTGCAACAGCCAGGACCGGGTCAGGCCAAAGCCAGGAGCCAGGAGCTTCTTGCAGGTCTCCCACGTGGGTGCAGGGGCCCAAGCACTTGGGCCATCTTCTGCTGCCTTCCCAGGCGCATTAGCAGGGAGCTGGATCAGAAGTGGAGCAGCCGGGACTTGAACCGGCACCCATATGAAGTGCAGGCATTGTAGGCAGCAGCTTAACCCTCTGCCCCACAACACTGGCCCTGAAAACATTTTATGAAGGAGAAGCAGGACCTGCTTCCTGGGCTGCCCTGGACACAGATCGTCCAGACAGAGCTCGCGCCTGTTGTCCCCCGAGACAGGACTTGTTCTGCACGCTGGGCTGCTCCGTAAGATATCGCACCATAGCAGCCACGGTGTTCTCATGAACCGCAACCACCACCGAATCTTTTCACACCAGCCGTAAGAGACACTGTCCTTGAACGAGTGAGCACATGAATGGTCTGCAACTTTGTAAGGGCTCTGTGGTTTCCAATACTTTTTACAGAACCGACATGGAGGATAAAATTTCCTCGTTTAAGATGTAAATCTTCAAAGGGGAATTACTCCCAAAGACTCCACCCGCCCCGTGGTTCTCCGTGCGCAGAATGGATCCGTGCCCGGTGCCCCTTACGATGTCTGGTCTCAGCGAACTCCCTCAGATAAGGCAGAGGCGCGCAAGGCCACGCTAGCCAGTGTCCTGCTCCGGTGCCGAGAGCATGAACGGATCCATCTGTTCAGAGACTCCTGGCTCCCAGTGATGCAACAGCTTCACCCCACGGAGAGGCGTGGCCTCAGCCGGGTTAAGGTGGGGAGCGGTCACCTGTTCTCCAGCAGCCCTGCCTAGTCAGAGGCACAGCTCTCGCGTCTCTCGGCTGCTTTGCTGGGAAGAACATTCTGGCTGTAGGACTTTATTTAAAGACGCCTGAGTTTCCAAAGCATGAGTAACGTTCAAGTGTAAATGCAAAACGTGTGTCCCACAGACAGACAGCAAACCAGTTGGATTATCCACTGCTTCCTTATCCAACCTGTTACGAAGAATGTGTTTAAAGCTATGTTTTGACTCACGTATCTAATTAGGTGTCAGGTGACTTAAACCACATTAAGGTAGATACTCCTGTATTTCCTTTCTTTAAATGAAACTTTTTTTTTAAATTTCAGGATCCAGTTCCTATTATTTCTATGGAGATTTCCTCAAAGAGAGTAAGTTGTGTGTGTGTGTGTGTGTGTGTGCGCGCGCACGCGCTCTGTGTTTCGCTGGGATCCAAGGATGCAGGAGTGTTAGTATGTGTGATGATGTGTAAGCGAGTTACAGCTTTCTGTCATCGTTTTACTTGTTGTAAGAACGTGTAAGTGAGCGCGACTTTCAGAACAACGTGTCGGGGACACCACGCGATACCGTTGACCGCGGGGACAGTCACACGGCAGCTCCCAGAGCTCCCCTGAGGGTCCTCAGAAGGTTCTGGGAAAGTGCATGTTATTAAAGAAATACGCAAAATAGGCCGGCGCCGCAGCTCACTAGGCTAATCCTCCGCCTTGTGGCGCCGGCACACCGGGTTCTAGTCCCGGTCGGGGCGCCGGATTCTGTCCCGGTTGCCCCTCTTCCAGGCCAGCTCTCTGCTGTGGCCAGGGAGTGCAGTGGAGGATGGCCCAGGTGCTTGGGCCCTGCACCCCATGGGAGACCAGGAGAAGCACCTGGCTCCTGCCATCGGATCAGCGCGGTGCGCCGGCCGCAGCGGCCATTGGAGGGTGAACCAACGGCAAGGGAAGATCTTTCTCTCTGTCTCTCTCTCTCACTGTCCACTCTGCCTGTCAAAAAATAAATAAATAAATAAATAAATGAATAAATGAAATACGCAAAATACACACGGATTTCAAATGTTTACACCAAAAGTAGCATCTCTTTTTAAAAAGATTTATTTATTTGTTTGTTTGTTTACTGAATTGAAAGAGCAAGAAAGACAGAGATCAATCTTCCCTCTGCTGGTTCACTCCCCAAATGGCCACAACAGCCAGGTCTGGGCCAGACCAAAGTCAGGAGCCGGGCACTCCATCCTGGTCCCCTACGTGGGTGGCAGGGGCCCAGGCACTTGGGCCGTCCTCCTCTGCCTCCCCAGGTGCGTTAGCAGGGAACTAGACTGAAGGCGGAGCAGCCGGGACTTGAACTGGCGCTCCAGTGTGGGGTGCCGGCATCAGAAGCAGCAGTTAGCCCCTGCACCACAGCCCCGGCCCCACCTCTGAAGTCCGTTTATCTGTGAACTTTCTGCAGTGTCCTCACACATCCTTCTCGACAGAGGCTTTGCACCTGCTGACTGATCCTGAGAAAAGTCTCCACTTTTCATTTCTGTTTAATAGATGTCTCCACTTCTTATTTCCATAGAAGAGAGGGGGACAGTAGTCTGACTCCTGCGGTCACAGCGGGACATCATTCCCTTCTTACTTGTCACCACTGTTGCAAAGATAGTAGTAACCGTGACAATCCAAGAGTGCCGTGAGCCCTGTGTGTCTCCCTCGTCGTCACTGGAATCGGTGTGTAGGGTCAACCTAAAGAAGCAGTTGCTGCACTTGCTGCGTGTTTATTTATAAATAACCTTTCGTGTTTAAGCCAGCGGAGGCATAATGATAGCAAAATTCTGCCTCTTGGGCTTTCCACTTAAGGTATCATAGTTTATCTCACATCATGATATAGGTATACAGATATATCATATTAACTCCTATACATATAAACTCCTATATATAACTCTCACCTCATTATATTTATATCTTTTTTTTTTTTTTTTGACAGGCAGAGTGGACAGTTAGAGACAGAGAGAAAGGTCTTCCTTTGCCGTTGGTTCACCCTCCAATGGACGCCACGGCTGCTGCGCTGCGGCTGGCGCACTGCGCTGATCCGAAGCCAGGAGCCAGGTGCTTCTCCTGGTCTCCCATGGGGTGCAGGGCCCAAGCACTTGGGCCATCCTCCACTGCCTTCCCAGGCCACAGCAGAGAGCTGGCCTGGAAGAGGGGCAACCAGGAAAGAATCTGGCACCCCGACCGGGACTAGAACCCGGTATGCCGGCGCCGCTAGGTGGAAGATTAGCCTATTGAGCCACAGCGCCAGCCCTATATTTATATCTAATGTGAACGTGTGACCCATATAATTAAAGAATATATACACATGGCCGGCGCCGCGGCTCACTAGGCTAATCCTCCGCCTAGTGGCGCTGGCACACTGAGTTCTAGTCCTGGTTGGGGCGTCGGATTCTGTCCCGGTTGCCCCTCTTCCAGGCCAGCTCTCTGCTGTGGCCAGGGAGTGCAGTGGAGGATGGCCCAGGTGCTTGGGCCCTGCACCCCATGGGAGACCAGGAGAGGCACCTGGCTCCTGGCTTCGGATCAGCGCAGTGCACCGGCCGCGGCGGCCATTGGAGGATGAACCAATGGCAAAGGAAGACCTTTCTCTCTGTCTCTCTCTCTCACTGTCCACTCTGCCTGTCAAAAAATAAAAAAAAATTTTAAAAAATAAAAAAGAATATATACACACATATATACTCCTCTAAGTTTTCTCTGGCGATATTTAAAAGACCTCTTACTTATTCAGTCTCTGATTGGATGTTCCCTTGGAAAGACCGAGCGGGTTAGCTGGTGCAAGTCTTCCTGCCCAGATAACGAACAAAAGAATAGACAGCTTCTACATTCTTGAGAGGCTCAGTCCTCACGCTCGCACCGGAGTCTTTGGAAGTATGCAAAACTCGGGAGGGATGAGAGCACCGGTATTACCTGGCCGACCCTGAGCGGCCGGTGTGACTCCTGGACGCTCGCCAAGGTCGTCGCGCAGAAAGAGGGCAATCTGGGTGCTGCGACCCAGCGCGAGTTCTGTCCGTTTCTGCTACGGCCTCTCTCTGATTCCTGCAGCAACAGCTGTACGTGGGAGCTGCTTCGGCCGTGGCTCAAGTCAGATTCCATCACTGTGGCATGTACGGGAGCGCGTGTGCCGACTGCTGCCTGGCTCGGGACCCGTACTGCGCCTGGGACGGCATAGCCTGCTCCCGGTACTACCCGACGGGCACCCACGCGAAAAGGTAAGACGGAACCCTTGCTTTGTTTAGGAAAACCCTAAGGCCGTGTGTGTGCGTGGCGATTTCTCTTTGCTCCCATTCTGTGAAATCAGCCGTGCTTTTTGTATGTAAGCAAGTCACCCTCGTCACATTTTGTTCGCGATATAAGCTTTGACAACTTGAAGTCTTCCTGAAAATTATCTGCGTGAATTCTTATGCTTGAGGCCTGGAGCCGAAATGCCAGGGCTTCGATCTGCCCACCCAGGTCTGAGTCAGCTCCTCTCGCTCCTGAAGCTTCTGCTGCGAGACGTGAGACCAGTTTAGATCAGCCCCAAATGTGGACACAGCGAGCCGCAGCCTCAAGGATCCTGGGCGTCAAAGGAGAACAAACAAGCAAAGCCGAGGTGCTGCCCGCGTTGGCCTGTCCTCCCCACCAGCTGTTCTTCATTTATTGCATTTTGGAAGTGAATATTTTCACTCCCAGGCAGGCGTGCGACCTGCGTAACTCCTGATACGTGTGGGTTAACACAAATGAACGGCGCTTACAGACCTGCACACTTGGCTGCCTACAGGCGGGAGGTCTCGGCCATTTGTTCCCCAAGGCTCGTCCCAGGATTCTTTAAGCAGGAGGCCTCGCGGTGCAGAGAGCGCTGAAGGAGTACGGGCGTCCTCCTGCTTGTGTCTGCTCTGGGGAAGCAGAAGGGAACGCTCTTCCCTCCTATAGATTTCTCACGATCTGGATACCACGACAACGTGGAGCAAACACAGAGCTGTGTGAAAGTCCCCTGCTGAACAGCAGTGTGTGTGAACTGCAGTTACCCTTACCATCTCTTTTTTTTTTTTTTTTTTTTTTTTTTTTTTTTTTTTTGACAGGCAGAGTGGATAGTGAGAGAGAGACAGAGAGAAAGGTCTTCCTTTGCCGTTGGTTCACCCTCCAATGGCTGCTGCGGCCGGCGCGCTGCAGCCGGCACACCACACTGATCCAAAGGCAGGAGCCAGGTGCTTCTCCTGGTCTCCCATGGGGTGCAGGGCCCAAGCACTTGGGCCATCCTCCACTGCACTCCTGGGCCACAGCAGAGAGCTGGCCTGGAAGAGGGGCAACCGGGACAGAATCCGGCGCCCCGACCAGGACTAGAACCCGGTGTGCCGGCGCCGCAAGGCGGAGGATTAGCCTAGTGAGCCGAGGCGCCGGCCCTCACTGGGGTTACTTTAAGCTTTCCTCAGAATCTAATTGACCCAGTTTAGTGGGATTGTGGTTTCTATAAGCTCACATATACAGTAGAATCTCATTTTAAAAACAACTTCAGTAATTCAGAATTGTTGGTAATTTGACCTAAGCTAAATGAACAATCCAGTGAGTCCTTTGAAGAGAGGAAAGGGTAGGGCCAGCGCTGAGGCCCAGTAGGTTAAGCCTGCCTGGGACGCCGGCATCCCATATGAGCACTGGTTCAAGTCCCAGCTGCTCCTCTTCCAGGCCAGCTCTCTGCTGTGGCCCAGGAAGGCAGTGGAGGATGGCCAAGTGCTTGGGCCCTGCACCCACATGGGAGACCTGGAAGAAGCTCCTGGCTTCAGATTGGCCCAGCTCTGGCCATGTGGGGAGCAAATCGGCAGATGGAAGATCTCTTTGTGTGTGTCTCTCCCTCTAACTCTGCCTCTCAAATAAATAAATAAATCTTTTTTTTTTTTTAATTTTTGACAGGCAGAGTGGACAGTGAGAGAGAGAGACAGAGAGAGAAAGGTCTTCCTTTGCCGTTGGTTCACCCTCCAATGGCCGCCGCTGCAGCCGGCGCACCGCGCTGATCCGATGGCAGGAGCCAGGATCCAGGTGCTTTTCCTGGTTTCCCATGGGGTGCAGGGCAATAAATAAATCTTTTAAAAAAAGAAAGATAGTAAGCTGATAGTGAGATGGCACTTTGAGAAGGCATTTCTGGACTAAATAGTTTACTGATTGTATTGAATTGATCAAGGGCATTGATTTTATTTTTTTTAAAGAATTATTTTATTTATTTGAAAGAGTTAGAGAGAGGTAGAGTCAGGGAGAAAGAGATCTTCCATTCCTCTGGTTCACTCCCCAAATGACCACAACGGCTGGAGCTGTGCGGATCCGAAACCAGAGCGTTTTCCGGATCTCCCACATGGGTGCAGGGGCCCAAGGACTTGGGCCATCTTCCACTGCTTTCCCAGGCCATTAGCAGAGAGCTGGATGGGAAGAGGAGCGGCTGGGACATGAACTGGTGCCCATGTGGGATGCCGGCACCACAGGCAGAGGCTTAGCCCACTACACCACAGCGCTGGCACCGGGGCATACACTTTCTAAATCATATACCTGAACAAAAGAGTAGACTGAGTGTATTTTTAATTTACCTCCTTTGATTGGAAACTATTTTGTACTGACTGATCGCTACGGCTAGAAAAACCATCTGATTCAGATGCCCTTTTTCACGTGTGCTGTATTAGATATAGGAACTTCATAATTTTTTGTACTCAACTCTCCTGTCTCAAACCCCACAGTCTTTATCTACACGCATCTCCTCCAGCCCAGCAGCTCACCCCAAACCAGCAGACTTCTTGCTGAACTCAGTTTCAGACAAAACGTAAAGAGGAACATCGGGTTAAGGGATCTAGAATTGAAACCCAGGCAAACATCTAAGGACCGCCGTTGCACTGCTCTTACTATTGAAGAGCAGGGAGAACCGCGGGCCTGGCTTTCCCTTTGTCTCCTGTGAGAGGCCGACTCCTGACTCCTCCTGGGAGGAGGAGCCCGAGCCCTGGACGGAGTGGGCGAAGTCTGGGCCTCTGAACGCCTTTGCTTTGTTTCAGGAGGTTCCGCAGACAGGACGTGCGGCACGGCAACGCGGCTCAGCAGTGCTTTGGACAGCAGTTCGTGGGTAGGTCCCGGGAGGCCGGCGGTCGCCGGTGCGCAGAGCCCGGGGAGAGCAGGTCTCCCGCTTAGACTACAGAGCCTTGTTTTCTTTGCACACTAGAAGGGTGCGAGTGGACGTCGTGTCTTTTCTTTTTAAGTCCTGTGCACTTGATGGGTGCCCTCTATTAGGAAAACAGGTCTCATCAGCCACCAGCGGCCAGTGGACCACAAAACACATGACAGCTACAGCAAGGGTGCTGCGCCCCGGGGGGGCCGATGGCTCGGGTGTGCAGGAGGCGCTCGGCCAGGGGTGATGAGACGGGCGGCCATTTGGAGTGAAATAAAGTGGACGCTTGCGCTGTTTGGCTGGAGGGGAGTAAGCGGAGGCTGGTGGGGTGCAGGTGCTGGTAGGGAGCCTGAGGCCGTAGGATGAGCAGATTCCAGCTCGAGGCGCAGGTGAGGAAGTGCATCCGGACGGAGAAGCCTTCTCCTGACCCGTCCCGGGTGAGGGGGTTGGTGACGTTTCTGGGGCCAGCTCTGCTGGGCTCGGCAGCAGGTTCCAGGAGCAGGGGTGCTACGCCAGGGAGAGCCTGTGGTGAGGATCAGGTCCAGCCTCAGCTGGTCCGAACCCAGACGGCCTCCGTGTCCGAGCTGGACTCCAGCCTCCGGGAATACTGGCAAACACAAGGCAGCACCTTCCCCTTAGGGAAATGGGGGTCAGATTGGAAGGTGCGGAGGGCGCAGGTGTGGGGCAGGGGTGGGGACAGAGGGTCGCTGAATCCTGGGATCTGGTTCTTAAAGTTACGTTGGTTAAAACAAGAAAGCGCAAGTCCACTGTGTTTATTGCTTACTGCGGTCGGGTGTGCAAGCGAGCTTGAGCTCAAGGTCAGCAAGCGCCTTCCTGGTCCCAGACAGCGATGATAATGACCAAGCTCTGTGCATGGAGCCCTTGGTCAGGTTCAGTACTCTCTCCTCCCTGCGGCAGGCCACACCTGTGGGTGCAGTCCCCTGTCAAGAGCTCACACACACGTGTTGAGGTAGGGCCATGTCAGCTGGCTTTCCATTGGCTGCTGTCTGTGACCTTGAATATGACCCGGCACCTTGTATGCTGGGTGGCACTCACCGGCCATGCAGATGGATGACTCCTGGTGAGTCTAACGCAGGTGCACGTCTGGCAGTCCTCACTGTCCCACGCTGGGAGTCCACCCTCCTGGCCACCTACTCCTGGTTGCCTTTTTTTTTTTGGACAGGCAGAGTGGACAGTGAGAGAGACAGAGAGAAAGGCCTTCCTTTGCCGTTGGTTCACCCTCCAATGGCTGCCGCGGCCGGTGCACCGCGCTGATCCGATGGCAGGAGCCAGGTACTTATCCTGGTCCCCCATGGGGTGCAGGGCCCAAGCACTTGGGCCATCCTCCACTGCCTTCCCGGGCCACAGCAGAGAGCTGGCCTGGAAGAGGGGCAACCGGGACAGAATCCGGCGCCCCGACCGGGACTAGAACCCGGTGTGCCAGTGCTGCAAGGCAGAGGATTAGCCTAGTGAGCCACGGCGCTGGCCCCTGGTTGCCTTCTAATACCCGCATCAAGGTATGCCATTCTCCCTGAGTAACTTTTTGAAACGACCCTGCGCACACGTCAGCAAGTAGTAGGAGCTGGTTGCTGCAGGAATCTGGACACGGGCAGGTTAGCAGCCACGTGCCAGCACCTCGAGGCTGACGTCATTCTGCCCGTTGCAGGGGACGCGCTGGGCCGGACAGAAGAGCGCCTCGCCTACGGCGTAGAGAACAACAGCACCTTGCTGGAATGCACGCCGCGGTCTCCGCAGGTCAAAGTCGTCTGGCTCGTGCAGAGAGGGCGCGAGACAAGGAAGGAGGAGGTAACTCCTGGCTGCACACTCACCGCGCTGGTTGGCATGTGATGTGTGATCCGCACACAGATGGTGTCACACTACCCGTGTTCATCACAGAATGCAGACACACTCTGTACATGTCAGGCACCCACCGCACGATGACGCTCTGGTCAACAGCTGGCCCAGATGTAGGACAGGGCCAGCAAGGCGGGGGGGGGGGGGGCCGTGGGGAGAATGATGGAGCTGAAGCTCCTGGCCCTCCGACGGCCGTGCGGTGCGCTCCTCGTGTGTCTGTGGTGATGCTGCGGTACCCACGCCCCCGCGCTGCCAGGCCATCCACGCGTGGCACACACGGTTACGTCCAGTGCGTGTACTTGACGGTGACGCTGATGCCGCTCTGTACGCGTGCCATCGCTGTCGGTATTACTTCAGTGCGTACTCCTTTTGCAAAGGGACCCCGTGTCGTGGTAGCTGGCAGTGGCCTCTCGCACCTTGCATTTGCGTGTCTCTGGGTCGCCTCATTTGCTCCTGGGCTTCATTCCGTCTCCTGTGGTGGCCTTCACCAGGGCCAGAGGGGCAGCAGGCTGTGCCAGGCTGTGCCTTCCAGGTTTGTGTAGAACATTCCACAGTGTTCACGCGAAAGCACAAGCCCCTAACGGTGCGCTTCTCAGACCATCTCCATGTTGTTAGGCGATGCATGGCTGCACCTGCTCACATAGATGTGTAGATAAGCCCTTTACATGTTATATGTTATATATCATATATGTTATATACATCATATATGTCATATGTTTTATATGTCAAGAATTTGGATACTGGCATTTGAACTTTTACTCAGAAGGTACCATCATAATTTTAGTCATGTTGTCAAAACAACAGCTTTAAACTGGACCACCCAAGGCAGTATTGAAGAGAAATAACACAATCACCATTAACACATATATGTTAGACATATGGACAGTACTCATGGGGTTAAAAAAAAAAAAAACAGCAACATTAGACCGGCTATACTGTATAAAGCTTCCGCATCGTATACGAGACCCAGACACAGGGTTCTCAACCCCTGAGAGCCAAGGCAAGGCCTTGTCTCTCTCACCTGCTTGGGTAGTTTCGGTAGTGGAGACCGCGTGAGTGACAGGGCAGGGACTCAGGCTGCTGCAGAGATGGTTGGACAAGCCGCACCCAGGGCTCTTGCGGACCCATGTGGAGGCGGGGGGTGGAGCAAGGGGGGCGAGCTGGAGCTGGCGACACATGGCAGGTGGTCCAGGACACGGAGCACTGAGGCAGTTGCTGATGCTGATGTGGGTTTTCGCAGGAGCAAGACCATCATGAGAGCAGCTAGAGGGAAACTGGGGAGACAGCACGGTGACCCTCGGAGGGAGGGCCACTGTGGAGGAGAGGGCTGTGAGTTGGGTGAGGGAAAGCAATTCTGGAGAGCCGCCGAGGGCACGGGCAGAACCAACAGGTGCCTATCAGATGGGCGGGGAACGGTGGAGGTCTCCTCCCGCCTGGGCGCTGGAACTTAGCATGCGTCACGGGAAGCCAAAGTTGTGGACTCCGGACGCTGAGCGCTCTGGCTTTTTGTGCCTTTCCTGTCTCTGGCCCAGGGTGAGACTACACATCCCACATATTTTTGGTGGCCGTCCCGGGAGGTGACTAAGTTTGGAAGTGCTGGGTTCCCGGGACCGTCGCTACAGTTGCAGGCACGTCGGGATGGCAAAGGCTCCTGGAGTAATGCGGAGCCGCAATCAGGCCACGACAGTGCCCCCGACCTTCTGTGATGCGTGAGAATAAACCCGTGTCAGCACATCGCGGCCCACTGCCGTGCGTGGCGTCACTGGTTCTGGGTGAAGGGTTCTCCGTTGCTCAAGCCTGAACAGAAACGGCTTCTTAAACTCTGTCGTTAACCGCAGGGCGAGCGAGGGGCTGGGCCCTCTCGACTCCCCGAGTTGAGGGCCTGCAGAAGACGGAGAAGTCCTTCCCCCGTCAGCGGCTTTCTTCCCGCCGCGTGTTCTGGTTCTGATTTGCACCTCGCCGTAGTCTGCTCGTACGGAAATCTTTACCAAACCCTTCCGACACGCTGCATCCATCAGTGTTCAATTACGGACTTTGTCCTCGGGTCACCGACTTCCGTCTCCGCATTCCCGGGGCTCTGGCCCTGCCCAGATCTCCCTGCCCGGCAGATGTGATGATCCTGGAGAGCCTGCAATTGCCTCCCGCATTACGAGTGACAGCACCGTCAGGTAGCGCGTGGTCTCTGTAGACACAACGTGTGTGTCGGGATGCAGTTGTCGTCCTAAACACAGACGTGACCGGTGCAAGCAGAGCAGGACCGGCCTGGGAGCCCCGTGCTGTATTTGAGATCAGTTTTGCGTTGCTGCCATATTCATGTGTCTCTCTCACTGTGAGACCTTTAATCACTGTATGATCTAACCTGGGCTTCTGGAAAGAACATTGACTGGGGACCAGTCCGATCCTGACCTCCTCCAGACCCTCCCATGGCCATGAGGGCGTCACTGGCTCCATGTACCAGCCATGAGATGTCATGAAGTTGTCAGGTCTGGCAGGTTGGGGCTGGTGCTGTGGCACAGCCGGTAGAGCCGCCACCTGCAACGCTGGCATCCCATATGGGCACCGGTTTGAGTCCCGACTGCTCTACTTCTGACCCAGCTCCCTACTAATGTGCCTGGGAAAGCAGCAGCAGGTGACCCAAGTGCTTGGGCCCCTGCACCCACATGGGAGACCTGGAAGAAGCTCCTGG